TTGTCTTATCTGTATACTTATTTTTTCTTTTGTAGTTTTAATACTTGTTTGTAAATTCTTGTTAAGCTCTTAATTTTTTATTTTTTTTTTGTATCTTTTTATTTGACTCTTCTTGTCTTTTTTCTATTTTAATTATTTGTTATTGTTTTTTTTTCTCTTTTATTCTTATTTTATCTTTAATCTATTTTACAAATTAAACTTTTTTCTAATTATTTTTTTTCTTTTTTTTTAATATTTTTTTTGTTATTTAAAGAAAGGTTACTTTATTTGAATCTTATTTTATAAATAATGCAACAATATTATCTTCTTTATTAGATATTGCATATGTCTTGCTTGTTTCATTAAAGAAGATTTTATTATATATATTGTCAATATTCAATATGCTTTTTTTTAAAGATTGCATTAAAATTTTCTTTATATTTTTCTGACAAACTTCTAGTTATGTTATGCAATTGTTTTTAAATGTTTTTAAATTATGTGTTCTATCTAAATTAGACTAATTTGATATATGTGTTTATTTGTTTATTTTACTTATCCTTTTGTGTTATTGTATAACTTAAAAGATTTACAAAACAGAATTATAACAACTTTTTAAAATTTTTGTAAAATTTTTTATTTTTTGTCAAAATTTCTTTATGTTTTATTTTTTGTTATTTTTAAATCTTCTTTTTTGTATCTTTGTTTCTAAATTAAATACAAGTTTTATTATTTTATCTTTTTTATTAGAGTCTTAAGTTTTGTTTTCTAATATAATTATTAAGTTTTTTAACATTTTGTTTTTTGATGATTTTGATCAAAAAATCTATAAGAGAAAGTGAACAATAATTATTTTATTATTATTATTTATTATTATTATTATTTTATTATTATTAGTATTAGTTATTCTTATTATTATTATATTATTATTAGTAGTAGTTACTAAAACATTTTGGTTACTTAGTAATTACTTAGTCAATTAGTAATTACTTAGTCACTTAGTTGCTTAGTAATTATTAGTTATTAGTTACTAAAATCTTCTAATCACTTAATAATTATTTAGTTATTTAGTCACTTAATAATTACTTAGTTAAGGGTGTAGTGACCTAGTAAAGTGGTCAGGTTGTCAACTTTCCAAGTAGTAGGTTGGATGTTCAAATTCTATTGATAACAAAAATTTAAATAATCACCTATATAATATTCATATTATAGCAACTGTTACTAATGATTAGGTTAAGATACTTGTAATGATGATTACACTAGCATGACTGGCAGGTCATGAGGTATTCATGTAACAAGTCATGTAACATTGTCCTTTAGAACAAGGTCTGTAGTTATATAAAGAAATGCAAACTGACAATTGGGTAATGCAAACATTAGATAAGTCCTTGTGGCTATGTAAATCTATTGAAATTGAGTAACAAGAAGTCTATTTGAGAAGACTTGAATAAAAAGGTAACTGGATCTTTGATGGCCCTACTGTAAAGGCTAGTCCAGAGAAACAGATATCAAGGTTATAGTACTTGATTGTAGTAACCAGACAAACAAGAACCTCTAGATTGGAAGTCTTAGAAGTACTACCAATTAGATCACTAGAACAAATTAGAGAAAAAGAATATTGGGCCAATCTGATATATTGATGGACTGGTTGTAGTCCTATATAGGTTATCTGGATTGGAAGTTTGATAAAAAGACAGATAAAAAGATAGAGGTATACTAAAATACTAGAATTATACTGTGAAGTAGATGCTGAGGTCTAAGTAAACTTTATAAGAGCATAGCAGTTTAATGGTTAAGCCCTAATCACAAGTATTGGTTCTGCTATAGTGATACCTAGATCAGCTATAAAAATAGATACAAAAAATTCTGGAAGGTTTATCTTGAAAATAAAATAATTCTAAGTTTAAGATAATGATCTGGACATCAAGTATGATTTAGTAAAGTTAACAGGTTTGTAGGTTCAGAAGGTTTAAAGTAGACTACCCAAGCAGGGATGTTAGATATAACAATTGGTAGGGAACCTTTAGGCAAACTCCTTAAATAGATAATATAGAAAAGTTATATATATAGCCAATTGTATACTCTTCCTATAGTAATTTACTAAACTACATTTACTATTATTAAATAAAATTAAAAGACTCAAGAGGTTACCTTAACACCAAAAAAAAAAAAGATTATTTAGTTACTTAATCATTTAGTTACTTATTTGTTTAATATTTAATTATTTAGTTACTTAATTATTTAGTTGCTTGGCCATTTAGCTATTTAACTTATAGATATTAAACTTTACTAAATTCTTCAAGTCTGATTAAGTAACAGATACATTTCTTTTTTTTAATATTGTAAATACATCTTAGGATTCTTTAGAAACAGAAACCTAAGAATAATCTTTCTTGTAATTATTTTAATAAATAACTTTTGATTATAAGCTATATTGATACTTCTTCTTTAGAATAATTTTTACAACTAAGGTTTATCTTCTTTTTAATAAATAAAGTAAAGTTATTAGTATTTTATTATCTTTTCTGAACTGCCTTAGAGAAATATATAGTTTCCTGATAACATTTAATATAAACTATACTTCTCTTTTGAACATTGCATATATTTGTAAGAGATTCTTTGTGTCATGTCATCATTATAGTATAAAAATTAAGAAGACTTTTACCTATAACAGTAAATTTAATTTGTTTAAATTAATTTCAATATTATTAAGTTGATGTAAAAAAAATATCTATTATTAAGAATGTTTTGTAAAAAGTTAATAATTATAAGAAGATAGTTTAGACAACATATATACTTATACAGAAGTAATTATATTTGTGCATAGTCTTAATAAATAAAAACAAAACTGCTAAAATTAAAAAAAATTATTACTTTAAAAAAATTATTTTATATTTCAAAAAAGAATTATTATTTTAAAATTATTTTATATTTTAAAAAAAAATTTTGCAAAACTTTGATATAAACTATATTCTGTTCTAATTTTAAATACACTCTTACTTTAACCACAAGCAAAGATTTATTTTTTTCATTTTACTGTATAATATTCGTGTACATACAATATATGCATAAGTATAAACTTTTTTAATTCTTTAACCAACTATTCACTACCAAAAATAAAGATAATGCTTGTTTTTTCACAGGCTAGCAAAATTATTTTATTTTTTTTATCTCATCTTGAAACCAAAAAAGTTCTTGTAAGTACCAATCAGATAGTCAAAGAAAACAACTACTAAAAATAAAAATCAGCCAAAATGAGGATACTGATGCACATAAAACTTGTAAATATACGTATTTTATACTTTGTTTTAAAATATATGTGCGTAAATTATATAGTTCCAAATAAATATAAGGAAAAGTTATATCTCTTTTGCGTAATCATTTACAACGAAAATAAATAATATATATGTTATTATATAAATACCTAATTATGCATATCAACATTTAAAACATCAGATATGAATTTTTTTTTTAAAAAAAAAATTTTTTAATGTGCGAATTTCGTCCATAATTTTAATACTTTGAGGCTGTGCACATGTTTTTAATCTTTATGGAAATGTGCACTTTTGTTCCTTTCATACATTATTAACATCAATGATCATTGGTTATGTACACATGTACTATTCTATCCAGATTGACTAAAAGTTCGCATTCCGTTGTATAAAGAATTCTGTTTTTAGACTTTTCATGATTTTCATTTGGCAGTACCTATAGTTATATATCGTTTAGTACTGCTTATCATTATACCCCCATGATTAAGACCCGGGTGATATTCTCCGTACCTATCAGCCTAATTCTTGAATAACGATAATACCTGGGGCATATTTATATGTATTAATATAAATTGTATCTAAATATAGTATCCATTTCTAAAAAAATGAAAGTTTGAATAAGATCCTTGGGTACTACGTATAGGCAGTGCTAAACTATGCAATTGTTTTAACTGCAATTAGATGTAAAATCTTTTTTGACAACGGTTACTGTAAGAGAAATATCGTGCATCACGATTGAAAGTAAAGATAGGAAAAAAAAAAAAGTTGGACAATATTTTTGGTATTTAGAATATCTCTTTGTTATCTTTGTGATAGAAAATCCGCTAATAGATGAAAGATTAAGCTCAGACGTTGTCTTTATTCTTAATTATATCATTTATCACATCACGTAATAAATAAAATAACCAATAAAGGGATGTGATAATTACCAATTAACAAACCGTTTTAATATACGCAAGCTTGTAATGAAATTATTTAATTTAGAAGTTTTTTTTTTATCAATTAAAGGAATGGACAAATTTGATTTTGTTCACGTATTAAATAAAGTATTCTATAGCAAAAGTACATGACCTTTGAAGAGAGAATTTTATTAAAATTACTGTTATTTAATATAAATATAAAATTTCGAAATTTTCGAATTGGTTTTTTTTTTTTTTTTGTTGCATTTAACTTTATACATACTTTTTTTTTCAAACAACTATTTTTTTTTCAACATCGCACACTTATTTATTTTTTGAAATAAATGAAGTTGGTTTAAAAAGAAAGAAAAAAAAAAAAGTGTAATAGAAATACTCTTTTTATGCATAACAAAAATAATTGTGCAAGAAAATTTAAAAAAAAAAGATTTGTACAAAGAAAAATAATTAAGATAAAAATTCGAGAATATTACACTATATGCAAAACAAAATTATTATTATAAATTGATTTTTTTTTTTTTTTTTTTCTTAACGTTAAATTTTTTTTTTCGAAAAATTTCATTTTTAAAAATACTAGCTTTAAATGAGTAAAATTAAAACATTTTTTAAGGTGTTTAAGGTGTATAATAAGTATTTACTATTTACTATCAGGATATTTCCCTAGTCTATATTAGCATATTAACTATCTGTTATCTTTTATCCCTTATTAATATATACAATAATTGTGGATCATATATAAATGTAAAATGATCCCAATCAAAAAAAAAAAGCCAAACCTATAATGATTGCACATACAACTCATCTCTTTGAAATTGTATATACTTGAAACAATAAATTACTTTTCATGATGCTTCTTATAAGGTAAATTCATAACATGCCTAGATCCCAATTCTTTAGAGAGTTGTAACCTTTAAAAAATAATGGTTTAATATTAGATTTTAAACTTGAAAAATTTTAAAATAATCAATGTTATAAATAAATCAAACATACTTTATTTTTTCGACATCCTCACTAGTTATCTGACTACCCATCCATATTTCAACGCGGTCACCTCGACTACGACGAGCACATATAGCACCGCAAATATTATCACTGCAATCAAACATATTCCCCGCAAGAAGCATAACAACTGTGTCCCACAAGGAATCTAATTGTCTTCTAGGAGGACATAAGGTTAATTTACCACCCTATTATTATAAAATGATTTATTAATTAGATAAATATTAAATAAAATGTATAATAATTGTAATAAATTTTAAATCATTTTAAATGAAAAAATTAAACATACCCCTTCATTTCGTACATCTTCCCACATTGGTTGAATGTCATCCTTAAAGAAATTTAGATTTGAATCAATTTTCAAGTCACTAGGCTTGATATATGAAGTCAATGCCTTATATTGTTCACATAGTTCAGGTACGGTCGAACAACTAAATACAGAATGTAATGTGGACGAATATTTTCTGGATGTCAATCTGGAATTAGTTTTAGAGAACGAGGTATCAACATAATACATTGTCCTATATAAATGGGAATTAATGATTTAAATTTAAAGTTAAAATTTAGTTAAAATTTAAATAGAAATATTAAACATCAAGTAATAATAATTAAGAATATTACACACCAAGAATTGGATAAAGGAAGTTCTACGGGGTAAGGAGCTTCCCGAATAATCTTTAATTGATGACGAAGACGTATTGCTTCATATTCTTCTTCTTTATTTTCAAGATTGAGAGTCTGCATATATTCATCAATAGCATCAAGTTCAGAACAATGATTATCAGGATAATTATCAGAATAATTATCAGAATAATGATCAACTTCAGAATTGATTTCAGATTTAATGATGCATTCATCACAAGAATGTTCTAAATCACTGTCATCCTGAGCATGTGAATCGATATGTTGATCTTCGGAATCACTTAATTGCTTTATATCATAATCATTTAATGTGGAACAATCGGATACTTGACTATTTTGTATTGCAATCAAAGTTTCATCTTCTTCCATCACCGGTGATAAATGTTCGGGTGATATGGATCGCTCCGATAAATAACATAAATTACCACTCTCTTGTTTATAAGGGATTTCATCAAAGTATTGATCGGCAATATGATCATCGTTAGCCTTGAATTCTGGAGAGTGATTGAATGATGATGAAGCGGAATAGGTAGATGATGAAATGATTGATTTATCAATAGTTTGTATATAAGAAGTTGATATTACAGTATTGATTGATTCAGCATAAGTTGAAGTGGTTGAAAGTACAGACATTGAAAAGGAAGTAGATGAAATAGTTGAATGAGGTGATGATAAAGAAGATCGAGGTAATTCAGAACCATCATCATCAGCATATTCTTCTTCAACAAAGGTTGTAGGAAGGTTTTTGGTAACAATACTTGGTACAGGAGCTTTTGAATGAATTTTCAATTGTTTATTAGAATTAGTTGGTAATTTTACCATTAAACCATCAGGGGTCAGATCCAGTTCTGACGAAGAAACTATTTCATTTTCTGATAGTTGAAACATATCATTTGTGAAATTTTCAATCAAAATAGTGTTATCATTGAATCCATTGACACCATTGACACCATTGATATGATAGCAACCATGAGGAGGTAAGTTCACATCAAAAGAAGATTCTTGTATATTATATTGTTCATTAGGAAAACATGTGGTTGTGGATTGAACTTTGGAGTTTATTTCTATTTCAAAAGTAGAAGAGGTTGCATCAAGCAAACAATCAGAGGAACTTAAATTTGGTTGAACATCATTTACAGTCTCGGATACAGTATCGGATGGCACGTGATCACGAGACATCGTGTGTGATAGTTCTTTTGGACATATACTAGATTTGTCTAAATTTTCTAGAGAGGAAGCTCTATCAAATGGTAATTGTTCATGTGAATTTATTCGATTGTTGGAAACCCATTCTTGTGTTATATAATTTTTATAATCACAATTTAAGTTGTTGTTGTTGTTGTTATTGTTATTTCCAGTATTATTAATAGATTGAATTGAAGTAGCATTTGAAGAGGAAATTTGCTCAGACTGAGACCTTACGACATAATCAGGAAGTGCCAAACATGGTGAACATATTGAACATTTAGAATGAGAATCCATTGAAATCACCATTGGGTTTCCACATTCATCATGATTAGGATATACCAATACAGGAAAATCCATACCAGGAATTTTGATAACGATATAATCTGGTATGATTGAAGGAGGTTGTTTGATTTCACTAGTATTACTTTGATTGATAATATCCATTAAATAAGTTGCAGAGTTGTCAGGATGAATGATCTTTATCATGATCTTGCCTATTTCATCTATTTTTATAACACGATGAAAACGGTGAATAGAATTACAATTTGGAGGTAAATTTATCTCAATGAGGTTTGTCTCTTCAGATGAGTGCTCTTTGGTATTTATTGAATCTTTACGATTTTGATCATTGAGAAGTTTAGGTATTGGAAGGTCATTACACCGTGGCAATACAGGTAAACAATTCTCGGAAGGATAATTTTCGGAGGTGCGAAGAGGTACCAGATGACAATTTTGTTCCTTGCAGGCCATAGGTATACTTGATGTCACGGTCGGATAGGCTAATGAGGGTAAATAATTTCGAATGAACGAAATGGGATAAAAAAAAAAAAAAAAAAATCATCAATATATTACTAATACATTATTTGAGAAAGAGTAAGTTTAAAATAAAAGAAAGAATTTTAAGACAAATTAAAAGTATATATGCACGTCAATAAGTAAACCAATAATGTTAACACGTTTATTTGTCTATATTTTACGTAAATTATTTTAAGAGAAAAGAAAAAAAAAAGAAAAAGTTTACATACCATTTCTTCCTTTTTTCCCCTTATTCTTGCTTTTCTTTGATTTTTTTTCGTTCACAACTTGTTTAAATTGTGAACTATTCAAATTATGAAGAGAAACCTTTGAACTATTTGTCATTCTTAATAACTACGAAAGCGATATCCACTAATTCGTGTTAATGACAAAGATTTTTTTTTTTTTAGGACAAGAAGAAATGGTATAAATAAAAAAATTTAAAAAGGTTCACGTCAAAAAAAAAATAAAAAAGGATTAAATATAATGGTTTTGTCAAGTTGAAAACTTTAAGTAATATTTTTTATTTTGAACTTATGCGATAAATAAAACTTGAAAATTTTTCGTTATCACCAAATTTAAAATTTGAGGTAGTTAAATTGAAGTTGGGTAAATCAAGGTTTATAAGTCAAAAAGCGGGGATTTATTTTTTATATAATCACCCAAAAAATCTGGGTTTCAATTTTATATTAAATTTATTAAAATTTTAAAATTATTATTAAAAAAATATATATACTTTATTTTTACTTACGTATGTACATATGTTATGTATATAAAAATTGAAATAAAAATTGAAATAAGGTTTTTATACTTAAAAATATGTGCGTATGTATGTATGACCAACATGACCTTATGAGCAATATGAGCAACCGGATCAGTTTCTGGTTTTTTCGTGAACTTTTTTTTTACATTGAATTTTATGAGTATTGAATATTTTTAGTATTTTGCGTATTTTAAGTATTTTTAAGTTTTGAGGTTTTGAGTGTTTAGAGTATGTATTTGTATGTGTTTATAAGTTTAAAACTTATAGAATTTATATATATGAATTTATATATGAATTTATATATGACTTAATATATAAATTTATATATGAATTAATATATTATATAAAAGAATTTATACACGACGAATTTATTTAAGAATTTATACGAGGAGGTAACATACACACTTTAAACTTTATGACTCACTTTTTACTAATTTATATTTTTATTATATAAAGTATAAAAATAAATGTTGCATACATACATATGTACATACATTTATTTCACACACTTCACAAACCGTTTCACCAATACTAAAAGAAAAAATATGATTAGCTTTCGTGCAAGAGTTAAGAATCGATGCCGTAGTACAAAGACAAGTTTGTAATAAAGAATCCCGCAAACATTTAAAAGGTTTGGTAAGATGAGATGCAATACAAGAAATTAAATACAAAAAAATACAAAACGTTTCATAAAAAAAGTAAGTAAAATTGAATAATTTTGGGTAGTTTGTACTTGGATGGCGTGTTAAAAAAACGTATGCTTTTAAATTTAACGATGTGTTAAATTTGAACTTTAAATAAAGAAATAACGGTCAAGTTCGGAAGCGTTGATTACCAAATGATGATTATTCTGATTACTTGATTACTTTGATTATTCTGATTACTTTGGTTACTCTTGGTTACTCTTGGTTACTTTAGTTATTCTGATTACTTTAGTTATTTTGATTACTTTAGTTATTCTGATTAATTTTGGTTATTCTAATTACTTTGATTACTTTTGTTATTCTAGTTACTCTTGATTGCTCAGTTGCTCTGGTGATTTGTTCGTACTATTGTCATCAATTTGCATCACTATCGAAAATGTGACTGACAATATGTTATATGTTATATGTTGACATAGAACACATCTGGACAACATAAATCACAGATTCTGTGTCGATTAATACTACATAAATGGAATCATTTATTTGTACATTAAAATGGAATTTTTTTTATCGAAACGAAGAATATATTCTTAAACGCGTGCATTGATATTTATTGGACAAAAAGAAATTCACGTTAGACTATCCGAATTATTATGATTACATATATGTATATAATAAAATGGAAGGTGTTGATCAAATAATTTAACGGATAGACAGGGTATGACCGTATAATATCACAGCAATCATTATAATTATAAATAAAAATTATGACAAAGAAGATCCGATGTACAAAGTCAAGTATATGAAACAAACGAAAAGTCAACTATTTTCAAAGTGATCTAAAAAGTTGATTGAAACTTTTTCAAAACAATTTAGTTTTTTATTTTCAAATTCTATAGAAGATTATCTTAAGTAACAATAACAATAACAAATTGTTACAAACATTCAACTTTTCAAATTATCACATCAGTAATTAATATCGGTAATTAATATCAGTATTTACAGAATTAATTAATTGATTGATTGGTCTTGTGAACCTTTTTTTGTGACATCAAAAAAACAGTAACATGACACGAAACAAAAACATTACCCTTAAAAAAAGTGTATATCACTGAAATCTGTCAACCAACTATTCGACTAACTAAAAGTTGCTAAAGTTGCCAGAAAGGAAGTTTAGTGATCAGATGATCAAAGCCATAATAACGAAGTAACGAAATAACGAAGTAACAAAGTAACAAAGTAACGAAATAACGATAAGAATTAATTTATATAATTAATTTATATATATATATATACATAGTATATTTATATATATATATCTAGGTATGCATAGTATATATATATATATATGTATATATAATATATATATATATATATGTATATATATATATATATATATATGTGTATATATATGACCTAACGCTAAGTATGTAAAAGTATGTAAACAATAATAACATTAATAACATTTGTTTTTTTTTACGATTTAGAAAGAATATTAGAAGATTAGTTTCTTTAGAAAATCATAACCAAATAAACAATTTATAAATCCAGATCCAGATTTTTTATATCATCTAAAAGAAATTATATTAATAGTGCATGAACGTAATCTCACGCTCCGACTGCATGCATGTTTGCATGATAGAGCAAAGCGTGTAACAATTATTCACAGAATCTTTTAGAAATCAAAAAAAAAAATTCAAGAATATTAGCGTTAGATGAATACGCGATGAATATAGAAATGATCAAGAATACTATTTTAATAATGTTTCCAAATTTTGAAAAAAAAGACTTGTAAATAGGAAAAAAAGTTAAAGCCTGAAGTAATTAACATTCGATCATCATCACATTTACACATAGACCAAAAAAACTTGACAAAAGTGGTAAAGTCCTGTGAACACCTCTTTTTGACGTTTTTGACACACACAGTAACACAAGTGGTTCGTATCTATTCTCACGACAAAAAAAACCCCATGTGCCCCAGACGCATATCTTACCTTGTTTGAGAAACTGATCGTTTTTGATCATTTACCTGTGTGATTTGCTTAAGAATTATGCACATTTGTGTGATCACACTTTATGCTATCTTTTGATAGGAACCTTTGCTTTTGACATGCATATCTTTCTTATAAAATTTATGGTCAGTTATGATAATTAAGAATAGCCTAATCACTTGTTCATAAACAAGTTTTTTTTTTAGAAGAAAAGAAAAACTTTAAAAATGCCAAACGCCTAATAGTTGATATTTGTTGCTTAAGATTTGTTGCTTAATGCTTTAAGATTTGTTGCTTAATGCTTAAAGATTTGTTGCTTAACGCTTAATACCTTAATACTTGACATTTAATACTTGATATTTGTTGCTTAATGTTTAATATTTGTTACTTAATATTGCATAATGTATATAATGTACATAATGTACATACATAATGTATACAATGTATAAATAAACTTTTGAAAAATGGCTACTAATCAGGAAAAGATAAAAATTCGTAAAGTTTGTAGGGATTCAAGTCAAATAGTATCATTACATACATACATACATACATACATACATACATATATATGTACATATGTATATATATATGTACATATGTATATTGTATATATGTATATATGTATACATGTTTATCAGGATAAATTGAATGCCAGATAAATTTTGATAGTGATAAAAAAAAAAAAGCAAGTACTATTTCATGTATTTTTGAAATAAAGTTTTAACCTATTTTGTATCGACCGCAACTTTCGTATAAATATACTTGCATTGAATGGTTTAATTTCTTTTTTGTGTACAGGTAAACAAATTCACTGTGAAATATTGAGTATCGTTTCACTTACACATGAAATCAATTATAACTTATTCAAGAAAAAAAAGAAAAGCCCAGTACTGATGTTACTGATATTCAAAGATCATCTTATTCTTTAGCGTTAGCTTAGAATTAGTAACTTGACATTAGTTTACCGTTAGTTTAGCTCAATTTAGCCTTAGTTTAGTGTTAGTTTAGTGTTAGTTTAGTGTTAGTTTAGCGTTAGTTTGGCGTTAGCTTAATGTTGGCTTAACGATAGTTCAGCATTTAGTTTAGCATTAGAGAAAGCTTTACTAATGCAGTGCTACAATAATAATTTTATTAAAAAAATTTATATACCAACAAAAACGTTTTCCGACAAAACCAATTTTTTGAGATCATTCATCTTACTATAAATTATTTTTTTAAGGAGATAATCGGGAAGTTACCGTGAGAGAAATTAGATTGTATGCCGTTTTGTTTTTCTTTGTTTTCTTTGTATTAAAAAATAATCATCTCATCAAACATTTTTCATGTATCAGTATGAAAAGATAAACCTTATTTAAGATATGATGTCAAAAAAAAACCAGTTTCTCCATCAAAAAATTTCTTAATTTAGAATCTTTTTTCCCGCCAGTTGTTCGACAAAACTTGTTCTTTTTTAATAATAATAATTGCCTTTGAACGTAATTGTTATCGTGTCGGGATTGATAAATAACAACAAACAATTTGCACCGGCGTACACTCATGGATACAACTTTGTGACTGTTACGTTAAGCTCCATCTTTCTTTTTTTTTAAAAAAAAATGCGGTCACCTGTACAAAATTAATGTGATAATGTAATACTGTGATAACATACGTACGTACAGTACGTGATAATGTGATTATGTAATAAAAGTGATAAAATTTATTTATTTAATATATCATTACGATCGATATACATAATTGGAAAAATTGTTTGTTGTTAATTAATTTTAATTAATTATTAATTAATATTATTAAATGTCTAAATATTATATATTATATCTCGATCCCTTCTTTAACAAATGTTCTCTTATAAATGATTGCTCGGAAAAAATTTGGCGGGAAATTTTTTCTCTACTTGAAAAAAACCAAAAAAAACTTTAAATACCGAATTATCATCGGACCAATCAACGAAAGATAGTTGATCAACAGTCTACTTGTTTGTTTATGTTGAATAATATTCTACCTTACAGCCTTAGTCTTATGGTTATATTTACATAATTATTTACATAGTTATCAATATACTACTGTACTAATATACCACATGTGTGTACGAAAGAACTTTCTTCAATCACGATCAAAACAAATCTCGTATATCCATTATATATATATATGTTATGTTCTAGTATATATTCTTATATAGTATATGGGGTCTTCGCTTTGAAAATGACCTTATGGAATATAGTAATTACTATGTCCCGCAGGGTCATTTTCAAGGCAAAGACCCATATATTCTTATATAGTATATGCTCACATAACAGATAAATGGATCATGCCCATACAGTGTATGCTATTATTATCAGTTAGATGTTCACACAGTACGTACCTATAAAGTATATTATATTCGATTCAAGAAAAATCCGAAAGAAATCACAAGATTTTTTAAATAAATAATGGCGCTCGTTTATGCAACTATATCTTTTTGAACCTAATATTAGTGGTGTTGCCAATATAAACAAATATAAAGAATTAGTCGTCATCCAACATCTTTTATTCTTAATAGATAACCTATCAAAATGCTTTAAATAAATTACTAATTAAAAAAAAAAGCTTCTTGCCTGTCATTGTTTGTTGAAATACGAACGCGAGTAAAAAATGTACAATGTTATTTCCCCACATTTTTTGTACTCTCTTTTATGCATTGATTGTGTGTTTTTTTTTTTTTATACTTTAAAATCTTAATAATACAATTTAAATGATTGTATCTTGTATCAAGTATATTTCAGTTACTTTAGAAGATTCTTGAATTCCACCTTTCATTTTATTTCATGTTACTTCATGCTACTTCATGCTACTTCATGCTACTTCATGTTACTTCATGTTACTTCATGTTACATTTAAGTGTGTATTGGTTCCGTTCATCCCATATTTCATCCGCGTATAAAGTTTTATGCGGTGATAACAAAAACTCTTGAAATTAGTTTATTGGTCACATACTAATTTATTACCAACTAATCACATTAATTAATAAAATTTTCGTAGAACATTGTGTATAGTGTGTATATAGTGTGTATTTTGTGTGAATATAGTGTGTATATAATGTGGTGTATATAGTGTGGTGTATATAGTGTGGTGTATATAGTGTGTATTTGTGTATATAGTGCGTATTTGTGTGTATATAGTGTGTATATAGTGTATATTGTGTATATTGCGTGAGTGAACTATTTGACTATAAAGAAACTATTTGACCATAAAGAAACTATTTGACCATAAAGAAACTATTTGACCATAAAGAAGCTATTTGACCATAAAAAAAACTATTCGTGATAATTAAAATAGTGCACGTGAGATTTATTATTCAATTAAATTCGCACAACAAAAACAAATATACATATAGATATAGACTTTGATATATAGATGCGCATATCAAAAGTACGTACGTTATATGATTATGTAGTACATAATATCGATATATCATAATATATGCGCTTAAAAAACATTTAAATCATTATATTCATTATATTAATTAAAGTCTTGATTGTTTGTTTACATAATTTTATTAATTTTTAGTAAGTTTATTAATTTTATTAATTTTTATTAATTAATTATTAAAATTTTTTTTTTTATCAATCTTTATTACCTATCATCTATCATTTATCGTTTGTCACTTGTAATTCTTTACATATTCATAACTCTTACGTGCATAATATATATTTCGTAAACGGTCCGACATTTCCCAGTTTTTTTCATTTCTTCATTCTCTCACTATTTTTTTTTTCATAATGAGCATAATAATGGTTATTGTTGAAAATTATTGTAATTTGTAATTGCCTTATTTTATTGACTTGTTAAAAATTCAATATTCCTAACGCTATTAAATATATGCTACGTATTAAAGATACGTTACGTATTAAAGATATCCTACGTATTAAAGATAGGCTATTAAGGATATGCTATATGTTATTAAGGATATTTAAAGATATATTAAGGGTATTAAGAAGGATATTTAAACATACTTTGTGTATTTGTTAAATTATTCATCGTAAAAAAAGTAAAATTTTACAAATACTTGCAAGAAAGAAACATAGTAAACTTTAAATTTTAATGTACGTACCTGTTTACTATCTTTCTATTTTACCATCTTAATATTATCTTAATGCTATCTTAATATTATCTTAATGCTATCTTAATGCTATCTTAATGCTATCTTAATGCTATCTTAATGCAATCTTAACGCTATCTTCGATATCTTAATGCAATCTTAACGCTATCTTCGATATCTTAATGCAATCTTAACGCTATCTTAATGCTATCTTGCTGCGACCGAGTTGCAACCTTTGCATTACGTAACTGCCATTGATTAGGTAATACAGTAATATCTGATAATGTTTTCATGTGACTTAAAAGTTCTTTGATACATATTACTGTTTTAAGAATGATTTAAAAAATCGAAAATTCGAGATCTTTTTTTCAGTGGTTTTACAAATAATCTAGCCACAGTTACCGTTACATACCGTTACATTCCGTTACATTCCGTTACATTCCCCATAACGATAGTCACAAACACAGCCTTTGTTGGTAACTTGTTTCAGATTCCGACATTTTCATCATGTTGTTAACTAGAGCATATCAGTCATATCAGTTATACAAACCTTAATGACCTTATATAAATTAAGCCGTGCATCCTTTACATAAAAATCATTGGTTCTAAAAACTAATAACGCGGCTCGATTTTGTAATTTAATCCTATATATAGAGATTTATCCTGCGGTTATCATTAGCTTCTAAGCTCCTGACTGACAAATTTCTTCCCTTTCCTTTCTTTTTCTTTTTTTTGAATTTCGAAACAAGTTCGCTCTCTCTCAAGCAAGTGTTTTCAAACGGTATTAAAACTACCGTGGTTCTGTTCTGGTGCTCAAATGCCGAAAACAACATTGTTTTGTCGTACTGTTTAAAAAAAAATTTTTTTTTTTTTTTTATGCGTTTATTTCCTGATTCTCTTTTTTTTAATTCTATTTTTTTTGATATTTTTGACTTTTTGAGACCCACTAAAGAAAAAAAAAATTTTTTTTTTTTTTTTTTAAAAAAAACCTCGAGTTTATTTTATTTAAAACGTTGATAAACGTTTTCCCCACTCTGCTATTGAATAAACTGTTATATATACAGCTAGTCTCTGTATTTTTGTTTTTTTTTTAGCAAGAGAATGGGGAAACGATCTCCTACTTTTTCAATAAAAATTCCGGAGAACAATTTTATATTTAACTATATGTCAAAGGTATATATATATATATATTTAATTGTTTATATAAGTTTAATAAAGTTTATTAGTGTGTTATAATATATTTGTTAATATATTTGTGGTGATAAATTCTATTTTCTCGGTTTTTTTATCTTATTTTTATTTAAATGTATAAATTATTTGATTCTTTTGTTAATAGATTTTTTTTAAATTTTTTTTTGATCTGACAAATAAAAATTCTAAATTTATTTTTAAAAAATATATTTCATTCTTTTTAAATATTTAGAGTCAAAATGACGAAGTTCCTGAACAATTTGAAGATGAAACAGAATTTATTTCGATTTCTACACAAGTTGAATTTGAAAAAGAATTAGATCGTTCAAAAAGAGAGTTCATACAATTTAATCAGGAATTAGATGAAATTGCACGATCTATGAAACAATTATTTGAGGAATCCCCTCATTTTCTCACAGGAATGGAAGAAATAAAACAAAAACAAGGTTTGCAAAAAAAAAAAAAAATCAAAAAATGGGGGTTTTTTTTGTTAAATTCATACTTATATTTATAATTTTCTATTTTTTATTCGATTTGATTTGGATCTTAGATGACATTGAGGAATGCATCTTGTTAACTCAAGAAAAAATTATAGAAAATGAACATCGGTTGTCAGATTTACAATTTCTTCAAAATAAAGTTCATGAAGATATTAATAATGATTTAAAAATGATTCAAGAACAAATTTATGAAGTAAGCATTCAACTTTAACCATAATTACCACATTTACCACATTTACCATATTTATTATGTATACAAAAAAAAATTGATATTTAAAAAATTTTTGAAATATTTATTTTAGATTCTTAAAAAACATCAGAACACGCATACAAGTATATCAAACATTTGCAATAATCAAACTAGAACTTGTGAACAACTTGAACTCATGTTACAAGCTATTCATGAGTACGCTAGGTTGATAGAAGAAGCCAGTCTAACTATCAAACATTTCGCTGATGTGTCACCAAGAAGAGAATATGAATCACTTGACTTGTCACCATTTCGTTCAAATGAGGTACTAATATTAATTAAATATTATATAGTTAATGTATGCGAAGTATGCAATAATGGATTTATTCAATGATTTACTATCTCAAATTATGAAATAAGATCATAGTAAAGCATTGAATAATAATTAATATTATAAATATTATATATATATATCTATATGTGGGGGTGAGTCAGTAGAAATCAAGCAAATTGTTTTTATTGAGTTATTTTAAAAACTTTAAATACTAATACCTTAACAAAAACTTGATCAAATTTAATAAAAATTTTTTATTAAATTTGATTAATTTGTTGTTAAGTTATTGTTATTCAAAGTTTTAAAAAAATTCATTTAGAAAAAAAATTGCTTGATTTCTACTGACTCAACCCCATATAATAACTAATATCGCATATTATAACTAATATCGCATATTATTACTAATATCACACATTATTATTCATTATATTATATAAAAAAGGGTAGCATTTCTTATTTCGAAGACAAAATTTATCAAACGAATCGTATAAAAACACCGACACCAAGTTCACCAACAGAGTCACCACAATCATCGAGAGCTTCTAATCATACAACGATAACTACACCAACAAGTGTTGTTACAGATAATTCTGGTCAGTCATCACCAATTTCACCACCGGATTCAATACAACCTAATTTTATGGTATCAGAATTACCACAATATCGACTTTTGTTCGATAGAATGCGTCGTGCAGCAGTAGGATTAAAATTTTTATATTATGCACACAAATTAAATGATTATAAGAACAATTGTCCTGATAATGATTGCGATCTGGATCTAGATTTATATGAGGATTGTTTAATAACAGAAGAAGTGACAAATATTTATAATGGAACTAATAATAAAAACAAGGAAACAGAAATCAAAAATACGATTTGTACAAATCGTAATAATAATAATCATAATCATAAAGATAATACTCCAGGAAAAATATGTGCTATTATACGTAAAAGATCTTCAGTAGTGCATTCATATGAATTAATGCGATTTAATAATAAGCGAACAATGATCAAGCAACAAGGATAACTACATGTCAACACGTTCATAAAGGCGAGTTAAGTTAATATTAATATAATATTAATATATAATAATATTAATAGATAATATTAATAGGTGAAAAGAGACATGTACAAAAAAAAAATTTAGTTGAAATTTTTTTTTTCTTTTATAAATAGTATAAAAGGACATTGGATCAACAAAAAAAAAAAATAGGTTAGCAAACTACGAAAAATATTACGAATATTACGAATATTTTCTTTTTTTTTACATATATTATTATTTTTTTTTAATTTTTTTCAGGATCCGTTGCAGGTTTCACAGGATCAATCAACTGAAAATTTGTGTACTTTATAGTTATAATGCTAAAATAGTTAATGTTAACCTGTTTATAATTGTACGATGGAAACAGTTATTTTCCTATCACAACATACTATCGCTATATAAATATTTTTGAACATTTCATTCAGATTTCAGATACATCAAAATCACCGAAAGAATTCACATTTAGCATAAAAAGTATAAGTAATAATATTTAACAGAATAAATCTTATACATACTTCAATCATTTTCATTTTTAATTTATATATATACAATATCTACATATCTCTAGTATATAAATATATATATATGTTTATCGATATGTACATGTATATGTTTTTTAACGTTAATATTAATGTTGTTAATGTTATTAACGGTTAATAATTAAATTACGTAAAAATTTAATGCTGCTTTTTTTGGTAAGTTATAAAAATAAATTGAGTACATACGTACTACGTACCGTTAAAAAAAAAAAGATAAAATATAAATGTTGGGTTATCCAAAACAGATAATCGATAGACCCAACCATTTCTTAGTATAAAAAAAAAATACCCCACTAAATTTTCTTACTAGATAAGGATAAAACTTTATTTAATCAAATATATTATATCGTTATTGTAATTAATTTTGTGTGAATGGGACTAAAAAGTTGTGATCAGGATCAGGACATGTGTAATTTAAATTTACGTAATACTGTAATATTATATCTGATATTAAGTTTATACAAAAGAATCCGACTTATGTGGTGATGTGGAGGATGATGTGGATGTGGAAAGAAAAAAAAAAATCAACGTGAATGCTATGTATTAAAATGAAAGCCGATAAATCTTTGATATGTAGTTACGTATGTACATACGTACGTAAGTACGTGCGTATGTAAGTAAGTACGTGCTTGCGTATGTAAGTACATACTGATACGCAATTATACTCAATTATACTCCATCAAAAAAAAAAAAAAACTATAAAAATTTTTTAATAATGTATGCAAGTACGCAAAGGTACATGAGAGCAAAAAAAGAAAACTTTGTAATACGTGATTACAATTAGTTCTATAATTACACAATGTACACGTACGTAATTAAAACTTAGCCAAAATATTGAATAATAAACATAATGGATATAATGGATACAATGAATATTTATACGTACGTACGTACGTAAGTACGAGCGTTTTTTAATTATATATCGATTTTGTACGTACGTAACGATAAGAATTCTTTCTATATTAGATATATCTACGTACCGCCACGTATTAACTAGTATTATCCAAAAAGAATAAATTGAAATTACACAAAATTTTATTATGATAACCTATTTTATATCATGTGTCGGTATAGATTTTTTATAAACCTGTTAATTAATTAATTATTTATCGTTATCGTTATCGTTATACAGTTATAACGTACGTATGTAAGTTGAACGGGATATACTAAAAAGGCTTTGGGGTGAAAAAGCCGCAGTGTTACATTATAAACAAAACATTTATCATACATGTGACAATTGTTTACGGGATGCAGAAACATCTGAGGGAAAACGCCGAACAATCAACTTCAATAGCAGGTCAATAGCAGGTCAATAGTAGGTCTTACGTAATTCTCACCAAATAAGGACTATTAAAAAAAAAAAAAGTTTGTAAAATTGATAAACTCATCATTTTATGACATTTGTCATAAATTAATTTTTAATTAACACATTCAAACATAGTAAAATTATAATATATGACAAATAATTAAGTCTTTTACAAAGTATATACTTTTTTAAAAAAACAAACTATGCGCGGTTCATACCGATACCGCTTTCCCAAAATAAGTATCATTCATAATTTAAATGTTGTGAAATGAATCAACAAAAGATTAACAGTTAAAATAAAATATAAAATTAAGCTTGATTTTATGCAGGATAGACTTTTCGTAAAAAGTTAAGAATAAAAAAAAGGGGAGTAAATAATGTTTGATTACCCTTACACCATAATAATATGTAGGGACTTTTTCACGTATGATAAAATACGTACATACGTAGCTTTTTTTTGCTGGTTCACACGCTTCGCAAATATAAGATTAACTGCCTTTGATAGATTTTTGCATTACCATTACAGGTACGTACGTACGTACGTAACCAATCATCTTATTTTCATCCCAATTATCTTAATTAAATATCTTAATTAAAGTCACGTTAATTATCCTAATTAAAGTCTATCGATAGTATCGATAGTCGTGTGCCACGTGATAATCTAATACGTGATTATTATCGTCATACAGGATGTATATAAAAGTGATATATAATAATGCATTTGAACGTGATGTCAATCATACGGATAATACGGATAAAAGTTATCAATTAAAATTTTTAGAATGTCAAGTATGACAACACCAATGAAATGATGGTACAATATTGATTGTATGCTAACATGGTCAAGAATGTTCATTAATTCCGAGCACTGCATTATCTATATGTACCCATATCGATATTTATGATATCTATGATTATACATATCGATATAATTACTCAACTAAGATCTACTCCATAATTACTATATGACAAAAAAACCTATCTTTAGTAAAAGAGGAACCTGGGGAATGAAATATAACGATAAACTTGGTTTTCGTTTTAAAAATAACTGATAATCTACTCCAATTTTCATCGCTTATTAATATGCTGTCATTGATTGATAGTAGAAACCTGATCAGAAATTTCATAATGATTTAAACTTATCATTCTTGGAAAGATCTACTCAAATCATGGCTGTACCTACATCGATATAAATAGAACTACGTAAAAAGATGACTTTTTATTTTTCTTTTTTCATCGGATAAATACCATATATATTGAAATGACGTAACGTATTAATAAAAATATTTATCATCATATAACTATAATTACTATATTATTATCATAACAAGTTTTTTAAGTTTATATAATATATTAATATATAATATATTATATATAAATATATATTAATATATAAATATATAAATATATTAATATATAAATATATTAATATATAAATATATTAATATATATTATAATTAGTTATTATTACGTATGTAAACCTTTCTTTGAAGCACTGTTCTCAAATATTAAAGCACAATTATTTCCCTGCGTAAATTTTATTAAACTTTGAACAGAAATTAATCTGTTTTTGTCATATGGCTTCATGATGAGATTATTGTTCGATAAATTTAAATGTCAACTTGGCTTTGTGCATACATTTAAGATATGCAAATATATAATCCAAGAATTACGAGAATTACAATTAAATTTGGCAAGTCCTCAATGACTCATCGGATTTTCAATAAACCATTCCTATATAAAAAGTGTCAAGGGGCTGTATCAGAAAACCTCTGATAAGGATCTAAAATGCCAATCTCTGATGAACTATCTTTCCTAAACTGGCACGTCAAACACACACGGATCACTGCATAATCATATCATAATTGACAGTTGTTTTTTTTTTGTGCTCAATTATATACCTTATGTCTTACCTTACGCGCATTCTAACTCGACTATTTTTTGGGTTTCTCAATTCAAATCGTACAACTAACTGTATTATTGTAAAAAAGTACTCGCATGTCCTTAAACGCGCTCATTCCATTCATTGTTTAAATTCTCCATAATCTTTCATTAAATTATTATGTATTACTCAATTTTACTTTCGTTTTGGATTCGTCCAACTTTCTACTAGATTAATAGTTCATATTATTAATCGGTGTATCAACCTAAAATGGTTCCCGACAATTCTGTTATTCTGACCTTATATATATATTGATAATATGTATTATATACGGTCAGACCCCTCTATAGTCACACTCGTTATAAGCACATCATATAAAAAACCTTTTTATAAAGCACATTTACTTAAAATCCAATTATATATAAACATATTAAAAAATCCTCTTTATAAGCACATCTTAGTAAAAATCTTTTTATAAGCACAAATATTTATTCCGAAGGGTGTGATTATAGAGAGGTTTGACTGTATATATATATGTATTATATATATGTATTATGTATGTATGCCCTTAAAACCTTGTTCCGTATCCTAAAATACTATTGCTGCTAACGCTAATGTTATACTGATACGTATGTGCATACGTACGTACGTATCATTAAGTTTTAGATGTTTTAGCTGTCATGTTACCTTTTAGCTGTCTTTCATTATACTCCACTAATAATAGTAGTGTATGTTTTAGTAATTTAAATAAAATATATAATATATATAATTTGATTAATATAGTATATAGCTTAAAATATCTTTACGTATAATAAAATTTTGATGCTTGTAGTTTTAAGACACATCTACTTGGTGATACCATCACATAACATTTTTCATTAACATTATTCATAGTTTTCATGCACACACGTACGTACGTACCACATAAAGATACTGATGAATCTCTTGGTGAATGGTGGTGATATTTAATATAACAGCCAATCAAATTTTAGATAATCTTCAGTTTCACCAGCATTATTTGGTTTCACCAGCAACTCTATTACCACACAGGTATTTTTTGCAGCCTGCATTTAGATTTTAATAAATTGACCGTCATAATTTTGCCCCCATAAGTCACATGAAATTTGGTGCTTTGGATTAAAAATACGCGTCTTTGTTTTTTTTTTCTCAAATGTTATTCCGAACAAGTGGACTTT